TGATAAAGAAATTACATCTCAAATTTGGTGGTGGTTGCTACACAGCAAGGGTATCAAACGAGGGTGTGAAGACATTCAATTATAAAATTTTACTATGTAAATTCGAATTTTATTATGGTGCAGATCATCCAAATTTTACTATGTTTTGCAACCTCCTATAGATCGGTGGGAAATGTCCTGTGACTGATAATAAAATAATTATACAAGTAAAAAAAATAAAAAATAAATATAAAAATAAATAAATGAAATTAAAAATAAATAAATAAAAATGGAAATAGAATTAATTTGACCCGGAATTATGAGATTCGTCCAAAATATCCCCGTCAGAATCTAATTCCAGTAACAATATTAAATATTGTAATAAGTAAAAGAATAGGGTAAAAATAATTCACAATTTTTTCACATTAGATTCATAAGTGCAAATAATTGGTTAATTAATTTTTACCTAGGATTCAAGCCTTGCTTTTGCTTGTTCCAAATAGCTTTTATGAGGAGAATTCTTATTAATATATGAAATTTACCCAGTAAATCATAATCAACATGTTTCAAATTTGTTATTATGATTATGTTTCTGGGTCTTGATAAATCATTTATATTAACAAAAAGTGATTTGTTGATTTCAATAAGTACAGGTTGTCACTTTCATTTATACCTATAGCAATTTGGACTTCCACAGTTATGCCAGATATTATGTCTTTTTTAACTTCATCAACTCCTAATATAATAAGTGCCAAATCATACTCTTTTTATGACAAGCATATTCACCCAAAATCAAATGATAATTACTTTTAATAGCTATGTTAGCTTGTGGTCTATATAAACAATCAATTTTATCCAGTTCATCACAGTATGTAATTGCTTCTGGACTATATCAGGAAATTTTCCCACTGTAATATTATGTCCATAAATTTTAATATGTAAAATAATATTTGCATAAAAAATTATGTAATATTTACACTCAATGTAATAATTGCATAATTTTTGTATGCTTATTTGCATAAAGTTACGGGACCCGCCGTAAACTTACGTAAATCCGCGCCAGAAAAAATTTCCTGATGAATAAGAAGATACGATACAAGAAAAATGCTCCTAGGGCATGTAATTTGACATATGATATTGCTGAGCAAATTTGTATAATATATTATCATCACTTGATTGGGTGGAAATGATCGCAAAAAATACGTATGCTTAAAAGTTTTATTAACATATAATACCAATAAAAATGATATCAATGTCGCACAACTTAGTTTCTCATAATGAATTAGAAGTTTTTGAAATTAGAACTTACTGGAATGTTCGGGTTCGAATTAAAGACACCTTCTGTAATTGTTTTTTTACAGCAATGGTAACTACCATAGTAATAGGTAGTTACCCTGGTAGTTACAATTATAAAATATTTACGGAATTTTTTCACGACTAATATGACGATAATTATGTTAATCTTGAAAACTATCCGCGGCTACTAACAGCTATTTACGGCAATGGTAGCTACCAGTCCAATCATTTATGGTAAGTGTCTTTAGTTCGAATCAGTAATTTTGGGATTGAATGTTCGAATATGGCCGGTTAAATTTTTTTTGAGATAATTAATATTAAATCTCAAAGATTCTTTGCTTTTTAATAAAGATTTTCAATGTAAAACTCTTTTAGAATCGTATCCTCCTCCTGTGTTTTTGATTTTTAATTTAGGATGATTTTTCGTGTAAGATCTTTTGCATAAAGATATTTATTAATGGTGTGTTGTAGTTGTGTACATTGTTTTTATATTTCGCCATATTGACTTTTAGTTGAAGCTGTCATTTTGGGCTTAAAACTTTTCAAAGGATTTTTTAAAAATTTTTTAAAAGTTATGTTTGTTTAGAAACAATATAATATTTATTCAAGACACTTATTATCATATGTCAATTTCAAACAATATTATTATCATACTTTTTTTTTTTTTTTTTTGAAGCGAAAAATATTTTGCCAAAAAAATTTCAAAAATTTTATTTATCGAATAAAATCATTGTTTAAAAATGTGTCCAATCTAGTGGGGGTGTACTAGTATTAGTATCACATAGTTTGGTTGACATAGTTCAAATATTCGAATCAAATTGTTGATTATTATTACGGCCCGAACCCGGTTTATACGTAGCTCGATTTGAAATTAGTAACAGTCAACCGTACCAAAAAGTGTGGACAAAATAACAGTCTGTTGTTAAAAATAGATTCATGTGATACACTCACAGGAAAACCTCAAGCGGGGATAGTAAGTTTTTATAAGGTTTGCATGATTTAATTATTTGCTGATTGATCAATCAATGCTTTTTTCTTTATAGTGAACAAAATATCAATTTTTGCGTCATTTATTAAGAATTGAAATATGAACTTACTACTTGATTTCTTTTTATTGTTAATTATGCCATCATTATCGGTATGGTTTAGATCTTACCATTGATTAATTATCATCTATTCAGAGCCAGATCCAATTGATTGAAGTACTGTTGAATTTTGGGACGCACCCAAGTGGCTTCAAGAGTAGATTCGAGATAATCTAGTTTCTACTAATAATGTTGTTGGTTGATTTATGGCGAGCTTCAATTATCTATGTCGTTTATAAACAGTTGCGAATACTGCCATGCTGATTTGGATACAAAGATATCCCAGCCAATGTAATTAACAATTGTCAATGACTTGGCGATAATTATATTTAGGAAATGACATTGAAGGGTATTCTTAACGACCAACCATATACAATAACTAATACAATTAAAAGTCATTGGTCTCATATGACCTGGTCAGCAACCTCTATGAAGTCAATGATAAGTCATCAGGAAACTTTTCCCGCCGTAATATTACGTCCATAAATTTTAATATGTAAAGTTGTAATATTTGCATAAAAAATTATGTAATATTTACACTCAATGTAATAATTGCATAATTTTTGTATGCTTATTTGCATAAAGTTACGGGACCCGCCGTAAACTTACGTAAATCCGCGCCAGAAAAAATTTCCTGATGAATAAGAAGATACGATACAAGAAAAATGCTCCTAGGGCATGTAATTTGACATATGATATTGCTGAGCAAATTTGTATAATATATTATCATCACTTGATTGGGTGGAAATGATCGCAAAAAATACGTATGCTTAAAAGTTTTATTAACATATAATACCAATAAAAATGATATCAATGTCGCACAACTTAGTTTCTCATAATGAATTAGAAGTTTTTGAAATTAGAACTTACTGGAATGTTCGGGTTCGAATTAAAGACACCTTCTGTAATTGTTTTTTTACAGCAATGGTAACTACCATAGTAATAGGTAGTTACCCTGGTAGTTACAATTATAAAATATTTACGGAATTTTTTCACGACTAATATGACGATAATTATGTTAATCTTGAAAACTATCCGCGGCTACTAACAGCTATTTACGGCAATGGTAGCTACCAGTCCAATCATTTATGGTAAGTGTCTTTAGTTCGAATCAGTAATTTTGGGATTGAATGTTCGAATATGGCCGGTTAAATTTTTTTTGAGATAATTAATATTAAATCTCAAAGATTCTTTGCTTTTTAATAAAGATTTTCAATGTAAAACTCTTTTAGAATCGTATCCTCCTCCTGTGTTTTTGATTTTTAATTTAGGATGATTTTTCGTGTAAGATCTTTTGCATAAAGATATTTATTAATGGTGTGTTGTAGTTGTGTACATTGTTTTTATATTTCGCCATATTGACTTTTAGTTGAAGCTGTCATTTTGGGCTTAAAACTTTTCAAAGGATTTTTTAAAAATTTTTTAAAAGTTATGTTTGTTTAGAAACAATATAATATTTATTCAAGACACTTATTATCATATGTCAATTTCAAACAATATTATTATCATACTTTTTTTTTTTTTTTTTTGAAGCGAAAAATATTTTGCCAAAAAAATTTCAAAAATTTTATTTATCGAATAAAATCATTGTTTAAAAATGTGTCCAATCTAGTGGGGGTGTACTAGTATTAGTATCACATAGTTTGGTTGACATAGTTCAAATATTCGAATCAAATTGTTGATTATTATTACGGCCCGAACCCGGTTTATACGTAGCTCGATTTGAAATTAGTAACAGTCAACCGTACCATGTCAAATTCCCTGCTACGAATAGTTTGGTTCCCTAGATAATTCATTCAATGTGAAGAGGTTGATAAATAGTTTTTCTATGTTACACACATATGGATTGTTATTATTATACTTGTGGGCGAAACTAAAATTCGATTTGGCAAAGGTTTCGACAATTTTATACTTGATTCGAAATAATAATAATAATATACATAGAAGATTTATGATCTGCAATAATGTCCACCTTTTGGGAATTACTGGGCTTCATGTAAGTCATTGAAAGTTAACAAGAACTTCACCTCATATTTCACCTTAGAGTGGAAAACATACAATCATCTGACCTCCAACTCTGATGGCAGGAATTACGTGTTCATACAATGCTGATATCACACACTGGTGTTGCCAAAGTCCAAATCAGTCATCTCTGTCAGTGGCAAACTTTACAAATGGAAAAGCATGGTCCAGATCATCGTGTTGGAGATAGAATGGAATAACATACATCCTGAAAATGCAGGCAGCATGTCATCATCCGAGCAGGGACCAAAAACAATAAGAATATAACCAGGACTTAATGAGTTATGAAAGCAGGCGTTAGATCAAAAGGCCCTCCAGGGAAAGCCAAAAATCAGTGATCGATATCAAAGAGGAGAATGAAGCGAACCAATTTGAAGAGAATGATTCTAATGAAAGGTTGGATGATGGTAGAGCCCAAAGCAAGCCAGGGTTTCTATTCGAATTATTAGTTTTACTTGAGTAAAAATTTATCGAATAAACTTTCAATGTAATTCGAATACTCAAATTCATAACGAATAAAAAGAATAATTCGAATAAACCTTATTCGAATAGAAACCTTGATATAAATCAATCTACTTAATTTTTAAAAAAAGTAAATTCGCCAATTATTAAAAATAATTAATTCCTGCAATCTCGGCCACATCACTAGTATTATTATTAATTGATAACAATAATGATAACGTAAATCTAAATAATATAACTAATCATAATACTAATCAATGATAATGATTGCTATAGATTCGGATCAGTTCAAATCGAATCGAATCGAATCAAAGTACAATTTGGATTCGTTAGGGAATCTTATCTGTTCTGTCAAATCATATCCAAATTTTTCATTGTGCGTTCGTTCTTTGACAAATTTGTACTGTTACATTCATTATTGTCATTTTTTTTTGCTTGACAACAATCAAGTCAAGTTGAATTTCCTGCACACAAAATTAGCAAGACCTAAAAATAAATAAAAAAGATTTTTGATATCCAAATTTTCATTTTAACTTGTACTGATATATTCTTTTTTGCTTGATGACGATAAAGGGGTTGAATTTCCTGCATATAAGAGACTAACATGTATCAACTCCTTCGTTTGTAGTAATTTACCATTTGATGATAAAGGCTCTGGTATCGTATACAGACATGTTCAATAATCAAATAATCAACAACGATAACAATTACATTTTAAAAACTGTATCAATCTTCCAACCTCTGTTACAATACAGAAGGCACCCTCGCGATGTATTCGAATAATAAGCTCTTCGAACATGACATATGCAATGGAACTATTAGTGTGATCACCAAAGTTGTCGACAACAATAACGCTAAAGTTACCTTTCCTATAAAATAAAAATTAATGTTCAAAAACTATGTCATACTTCAACATCAATGGCATTCCAACTTCGAAAAGTCAGTTCCCGATCCAGAATGCACTCACGCTCACCATTCACAAGACACAGGGCTTCATGTTACCGCATTCGACCTTGACATTGATCGCCACAGGACAGATTTATATGGCGATGAGCAGGTCCTTCGATTTTGACCGTCCAAAGGCGGACGAAAATATCCTTGCTGAATACAGGAGATTGAACTACCTGAATCAAAGGGATTTAAGGGAAATCAGTTAAACGTTGGTTGGTGCTGGTGCATTCCTCATAAACTTTTTTTGAGTTGATCAGCAACGTGTCACTTATTTTTAAATTTTTTTTGTGCTCACTTGCTTATGCTCAATTAAAAAAAAACTGTAACATTAATAATATTATTAATAAAAAAATCTGTGAGAAAATCAATAATATTTGATATTGTTCTGTATATCATCATTATTTATGTTTTTTTGATCATCAATCATTTAAATATTTTGTGTAAAAAAATATTCACCGCCAATTTCTTGTCGAAACAAGTTTAGGTTCCTTGTTATAAAATCATCAGATTCTTTTTAAAAAAAAATTTGCAAATTTTTATTGAATAAAATTATTATTTAACGAAAAAATTAAAATAAAATGTCTAAACGTGAATTAATTCTCAAATCATTAAATCTTATTGTCTACTTTGCAATTCTTGGTGTTGCCTTTAGTGGCCACTTGGATCAGGATAAAAAAGAGAGAGATGATGTTTACCTTTTACCAGCCTTTTACACCTTTTGTATTTGGTTCTTTATCCAAGCTCTACTTTTTGGATTCATAATTTATCAATGGTTTGAACCTGCTAATGATGTCACAGTTGAAGGTGTTAGTTGGCATAATGTCATTGCTGGTACATTATCCATCATTTGGATGATACTTGCTGTAAGTATATTATCATCATTATCATTATATTTTTGATAAAAATTAACCAAGTTTTCTTTTAGCCAAATGAAAAACTCGTACTGTTGGAAGCATTCATTTTATTGGCCATGTTCATTGTTTTGTTCCGTTTATATGACAACTTATCACTTTATCCACCAAGAAATTTAGCAGATCGATTATTTATTCATTATGGATTCACCATTTATACCGCTTGGACCTTCTATGCCACTATTGTCAACTTCTGGATTGCGTTACCATCCCTTAACACCATTTTTTCAAGTGTTGTGGCCATTGTAATTCTTGGTATAGTTGGTCTTTCATTTGTTGATTACCACAAACGTCATGATGTTGTCTATGCTGGTACCATTGCTTGGGCTTTGATTGGTATTTCTGTTGAACAAAAGGATGTCATGCCAATTCTTGTTGCATCCTCAATCTCTTCTGGTTTGATCATAGGAGGAGTCTTGAGAATATGGGCTCGTAACATTGTTGCGTGGTTTCGTCTTCGTAGAGAGAGAGAAAGTATTGGAGAACGATCTGCATTATTAGCATAAAATATTGTTAGAAATTTATTTTATCTTTATAGCAAATAAATACAATAAATTCATTCACTTAATGAAAAATAATGTTTATTATATTAATAATAGTAATCATATATAATGTTGTATTAAAAAATAAAATCTGAGTTTAACTAATTATTTTATCATCATTATCATTCATCATCATCATAATTAACGTCATTTTTTTGTTTGAAAAATGACAAGGCAGCTCTCTTGATTAAACATTTGTGAAATCACGTAAGACAACTCGTTACCCATTTGTTGAAAGTCAGGAAACTTAATTAATAGTATTATTATTTAGTAAAAAGAGTTTGCCATGTTGGCTAAACTAAAAAATCAAACCCATAAATCCCAATACGTTATCCAATGGCATGTATTAAGTAAATAGCCTTGCTTTAAAATATTTACTTAAAAATTACAAAAATCCCAGATCAATTGATTTTGTTCATTTTCCTTATTATTATTAATTTGAAGAAGAAATAATAACAAATATATAATATTTGGTAAGACACCAGTCCCAATTTAATATTTATGATGCATACTTTATTATTTTTGAAATATAAACAATAACAGTTGGTAACATTTCAAAAATAAAGAATGAAAGATTTGGGGAATACCTTTTTCACAAAATCTTTAACAGTTGGTAACATTTCAAAAATAAAGAATGAAAGATTTGGGGAATACCTTTTTCACAAAATCTTTAACAGTTTTGTCAAATTTTGTCTTATTTGTGTTATAAGTTTCAACAATAGATGCCACTAAAGCATCATCAGGATTAGGATGTTCAAGAAGACTAGCAATAGATCTAAGAACTACATAATATAATAGATATGTGTATATGTAATTAGCAAATAATAATTGTGAAAATAAATATTTTATTATTTTACCTTGCGTAATCTTTGTTGATGGCTTCCAGACATCAGTTTTTAATAAATCAACACAAATTGATACATCTTCATCAATATTGGGATGATATATTTTAGTAAT